GACACTCTCAACAACATTAGAGAACCATACCAGGCACTGGAAGAGCTTTACATTATTGAAAGTGCATTAAATTGTAGTGCCATCTGCCTATTCAGGTGGATGTTAAAAATCCCATGGTACTATTCAAAAAGAGAAGAGAGTTTCTCAGTCTCCTGACCCAACAATAAAATTATTACTTAAACAAAAATCATTCATGTTTCTTTAAGTAACAATAAGCAAAATGTTTAGATAAAATTGTACATTTGCTTCATGGCTGTTTGTGGGACATTGTTGTACGCACACTGGCTGCTGTATTTGCCACCAAATTACATGAACAATACACTTTGCAGTAAATCACTTTGAATTATGAACGGCGTTATATCAAATGCCAGGATTATTATATAGGTAGAACTTGCAACTTCGTTTAATTGAAGATAATTGTAAATACAGGGATCAAACATGCGCTTTAAATTTAGATATTCTGAATGTACTGATTAAGAATATGTCAGAGACTGATACTTCTTCCCCTGACACAATTCTCAGTGGTGTGAATCCAGATCACTCTTGGACTGCTGATTAGCAAAAAACTAAAACTATATAGTAAACTAATGCTAATATAGTGGAGTTCTGTAGCTCAGTGGTTAGAGCACCTGCCTCGCAAGCTAGAGACCTGGGTTTGATTCCTGGCAGGGCAAAACCTTGGGCAAGTTTCCTTATTTCACATGTCTGATAATAATCTCTCAAGAAAAAATAATAATACTTTGATCACTCAATCCACAACTGCGCAATTGGCTGCCGCGTTTCTCCCACAAATATCCAGTCAATTCACTTTACAGTATATTCTGTGAAGTGCTTTGAGACATCCAGAAGACGTAAAATGCGCTATATCAAATGCAAGGATTACTATTTATTATAAACAATAACAAAATTACATTTGTATAGCGCCTTTCATGTCGGGAGGATGTCCCAAGTTGTTGGACAATCAGTGTTTGCAAGGAGGGTGATCGAAGGCACAGTCGAAGAGGAGGGTGTTGAGACGAGTCTTGAAAGAGGCAAGGGAGGGGGCGAAGTGGAGTGACTGCGGGGTAAAGTTCCAGAGGGTCGGGGCAGAGTGACAGAAGGCCCGCCGCCCACTGATGGTGGGGCGGGCAAGGACGGGGACGTGAAGCAGTCCACAGCCCGCTGAGCAGAGGGAGCGGGCAGGTTGACAGGAGGTTAGGAGGTCGCAGAGGTAGTGAGGAGCAAGGCCATGGAAGGCTTTGAAGGTGAGGATCAGGATCTTGAACTGTATCCTCCGTGTGATGGGAAGCCAGTGGAGTCGGGCAAGGATAGGGGTGATAAGGTCCCATCCTCTGGTGGTCTGGTGCTGGAGATCTGCAGCCTATAGAGGGAGGAGTTGGGGAGGCCAACGAGCAGAGAGTTCGCATAGTTGAGCCTGGATGTTATGAAAGTGTGTATCAGGGTCTTGGTAGCCTGCAGTGTGAGACAGTGGCGGAGCCGGGCGATGTTGCAGAGGTGGGGGAAGGCAGAACGGGTCATGGCACAAATGTGGGGTAGGAAGGACAGTTGAGGGTCAAGCAAGATGCCAAGGTTCCTCTCTAGCTTGGTGAGGTGGCATGTGCATCCTTGGATGGTGATGCAGTCAGTGCTTGAGGTGTAGAGGTGCTGACGGGAGCCAATGAGGAGGGCTTCAGTTTTGTTGAACAATTCAATATGGACTGGGCTTCCCGCTTCACATCACTATGAAACATTTTTGCTCCCAGCAATATGAGTGCAGCATCAAAGCATAAAACATGGTAATGTGGGCCACTGAGACAAATGATGTTAGATATCTCCCTTAATAACATTCAGGATTCTATGACGATTTATTGGAATACAATGAGATCTAAAGTGCTTGTTCAAAGCTAGTGCTGCAAACAGGAAAATGCCTTTAAATTTTCCCTTGGGGCCACAAACAACAAATATGTGGTTTAATTCTGTAAATATTGAAGTTACTTGGCAAACGTTTGTAGCTTTGACAAATTCCTTCCTGGTAAAAGACTTTTGCCTTGAAGAATCAAAGATGTCCAGGAGCCATGTCCAAAGTTTCTGTCCTGTTTGATGCCCTGTTAGTGAATTCCTTACATCATGCTTTCACAAATCACCTCTCGTTTTTATTAGTCTCTTTACTGAGTTTTCTTATATCTTCCCAATCAATCTGATAGTGTTTTTGGCTAAGGCAGTGGCCCCATTGTGATAGAGATTTACAGGCCATGATATCCCTTTAGACAAATAACCAGGCTGTATCTCATTTATTCAGGGACACAATGCTAGGAAGTGCATGAGACTGAGAGATTTCCAGGTGTCTTATTCTATGGAAAATTTTCTTGCCTACATTAATATTTCAGAAATAGGAGAGGTTCTGCATCGAGGTTCCTGACCTCACATTAGTCTGTAAAGTGAGTTCTTGGTGGCTTCTTTGTCTATACTTTGTTTTTAAGACATAATTACAATATTTTTAGATTTGAGAAGCTAAATTATCACTTTACACTTCACTTTTTTCACCCCAATGCTTTATACAGTATTCAGGCCCGTCATTGGGTACAGATTCTAACAAAGTCAATATTTATTTACGTAGCATTTCAGAGGATCTAAAAATTGTTGAATTCAATCTTATCTTTAATGTTACTTTTCTGTGTCTTGTTTATTGAGCTTGAGACTCAGTTTACAAATGCATCTTTTAAAAGATCCTACCCTGAAAGGGAAGCACTTTACCAAATGCACTTCCATATAAAGAGCTTTTTAATCACAATTACTTTTCTGATCAGAAATGTTATTGTTGTGATAAATAACTCTAGTATAACAGTTATAACCATGCTTTAATGTCCACATGTTGAAGATACTTGAAACGCTGTGTTTGAGATCAGGATTAGAGGTTCAGGTGCCCTATAAGGATTTATTTTTTTGTGTAAAAATCCTAATTAAAAGTTTCCTTGTTGAATTGTACTTTAAATGCTACTCATCTCGAGAATAATTTTCTTATCCTTATGAAGATAAGGAATCGCTGGGAAGAAATTCCACTATGGTCCATATTTACCCTATTTACAGAGCATTTTAGAATATCTAGAATTTGAAAAATTGTTAAAAACGGCCTTAATTTTGAAGCCGGTTCTTTTAAAATCTACAGAAAACTGATTTGAAAGTTAAGACTGAATTCAAAAATTTGCCAAATTCTGAACGCCCTAAAATTCTACAAAAATAAAGTAAATCTAGACCTATGTGTGGATTTTTTCTCCTATAGATGGTGATTTCACTCTTCACCTCCAGTTCCTGCTGAGCAGAGAGTGTAGACTCAAATGTAGGCAAATGAGCAACAACAACAATAATTTGCTATTATGCAACGCCCCTCACACAGGGTAGGGTCTCAGAATGCTTGACAACGGCAGAGCCTGACGCCGAGTCAGAGGGTGGGGTGAGGGCACCATAAGCACAATCGAAGAGGAAGGTCTTCGGGCTGACCTGAAGATGGGGAAAGAGGGGGCAACGCGGAGGGATTGAGGGCAAGTGGCTAGGCAGAGACTGGTGACGCAGCCTTTACAAGTTCAACCTCTGCTGGTTCCTGAGCCCAGTGTCCATGGGTAAAGACGATACATAATAATGTAAACAGTAGTTTTACAAAACAGACTTCCTTGGCTACAATTTTGATCATCTTTCTCTTTCCCATCCCCTCAGCTTGAGTGCTCAGCCAGCAGTGTCAAATACTTTGGGATGTGCCCCCGATGTGAAAGGGACCATGTAAATGTAAATTCCACTGTATTGTCTATACACAAACATATAGAGAAACTGAAAAGTACCACAACATTAACTCACTCCTCTGAATCATAGACATTCAATATACAGTTTTTGCCTACAAAACAGTCACTACATTTGATAATAATTATTGTAAAGCACATTGAGACATTGTGACATGGTAATGTGCTATAAAAATCCATATTCTTTCCTTTTTTTCCCTCTTTCAATTGATAAATAAGATAAAACATAATTCATAAGCCCAGCTTCAATGTAAGTTTCTGCCCTCCACATAATCCAAGGCACATTTCTACCCTGTTAGGAACTGGTTTGAATTGCAGTACAATTTTTTTTAAAAAGGAAACTACTTTAATAGGAAAATAAATTACCTTCCATAAAAAGTAGGTTCCTTTGATTTTAATGTGTGCTATGTGTATTTATCCACTTATTAAACAATAATCTATTTTCATATTGATAGCATTGGCCTTTTTATACAGATCTGTGTCATGATTAAATGCAGCTTCTTAAATCTTTGAACAGTTGGTTATCTGTTTAAATTCTCTTCTAATATTACTTACATACCAATAACCTCTGTTCATTCAAACAGGAGTGGATCACAACATGGTCAAAGAATTTCTGTGAAAATTAGATTTTTTTAAAAAAGAAAAAATAGATGGGTTTGAACCAGAAAGGACGAGAAAATAGAAAATATTTTAAAAATGACATTTTCTTCAGCAACAAGTAAATCAGCCACATCTGAGAGCTTGTTGTGGTTCCAATTTCAAGAAGCTCTGCTCTGTATTTAAGTGTTGAGAGCATTTTCCTGAGCCCAATGTGCCACTTAAAGCTCATCCATGTGATTTCTGAATTAGTGAAAGGTGAGATTCAGTCTGTCATCAATTTCTCCTTGGGCTCTCGAGTATCCGACAGGATGCTCCTTTGATGGCATGCTCCTGAAAATCTCTTTTTGTTCTTTATCTATTCGAACTGACAGTGATCAGGGCCATAACAGGACAGGCATCTCTTGAGAAATCACCTTCCTCTCTGCCTATTGACAGATCCCTCTGTTCTGAATCAAGCAGACCTTGTCCCGTCACATGCATCAAGGCTGGGAAGTAGCCACCAATTAGACCCCGGGAGCCTTGTAAAATCTGCAGCCACTTTTAAGTGTCTGTTCAGATTAGTTGGGATGAGAAAATGCCCATCAGCCCTCACTGTAGCTCCCTGTCTCAATTTTCTCATTGCCTCCACAGGTGCGAGAAGTGCGATCGGAGCTTCACACAAGCCACCCAGCTGAGCAGACACCAGCGGATGCCCAACGAGTGCAAGCCAATAACAGAGAGCACAGAATCAATTGAAGTGGATTAACTGATTGACTGGCTGGAATTAAACTGCAAGGAAAGTCATGATTAAATGTCATGGACACTTAAGCAAAACCAAAGATTTCCTCTGAGCAACTTTCAATCAGTCCCAGAAAACCAAAAGCGGTAATAAAATAAGTAAGACGTTAAAAGATATTGATCTTGGCACGGGAAAGAGAGCGAGCAAGAGGGAGAGAGAGAGAGAGAGAGAAAGAAATTGAGAGAGAGAGAGAGAGTGAGCAGAAAAAGAGATTATTTATTTATGACTAGAGATACAACTCATTCAATGGACAAAGAATTGGAAACTTGCGTAGATTCTTATGCCCAGAATATATTACATTTCTAAGAGCCTTTTAATTGTTATTTAATACCAAAGCAAGAAAAATATTAATTTGTGGCTTCAGCAGCCCGCAGTCATGACCGAGAATGCACATTGTTTTATTGCACCTTTTTAGCATGACTTGAGGGACGTGGACTGTCCTCTTCTTTTTTTCTAACCTTACTGTCTAGATGGTGATATGAAAAGCAAGACTTTGCATTTTGAATTAAAGAGTCTCAAATTCGTTGTAAAATACAACAACATTTTCGGTATCTTTTGACTGTCCTAATTGAGTATGCACCCCCTCTACATTTCATTTGCAAAGACATCACTTATGGATGCAGACTATGGAAAAAAAAGTGACATAAAGTTGAAGCTGTATTGTTGTGGTTGAAGAGTTGTCCATCTGTCTCCCAGAGTCACTGTATCAGAATCGCGTAAGTGAGTTGCAACAAATATTTGACTGTAAATTCTGTGGTTGAATAATCATTCAGCCTATGTTTGGGTTAATGCTTCTTTTGGTAACATTACTCTGCATGATTAATGCCTATAAACACATCAGTTCATTTCGGGGACTAAAAAAACGAAACACAGTACTTTGTGGGTTTGTTAACCAAACACGGGAAAGATTCAAGTTGCTTTTGCTATAAAACCCACACTTGTGGGCAGAAATTCTGGTTGGTGTTCATGCGTGCGACTTTGGCGACGTGTGCTTATAATGGAGGAATCCATTGGTGGCCAAAGGTGCTATGAGTAACGTTGACTGGAAATTCTGCACATTGGTCATCTATTAACCAGATGGGAATCAATACCCTTTCCCCTTTTTCTTAGTTCCCTCCATGTGCTCTCAAGTTATGGGTGTAAATTGCTCCCTGTGATGTGTCAATAATCACCAGTGACAATTGTCAAGCCCTTAAATGCGATTCCCGAGGCCAAGTGATAATTTAAGACGGTTAATAACTAAAGACTGGTCATAAGTGGGATCTCTTTCCCCCTCTCCAACTGTTAATCCTGCAAGCCAAAGCCCTAACGGGCAGTATGGTCCTAACTGGACAAGCAGCCAAATGCTTTCCAGACAGTGATCTCAATAGCAAACTATGTGGCCTCAGCTGTTAAAACTCCAACATTCGCTACTCTACACTCTGGGGTGATCAAATCTTTAGTCTTGCTAACCTGCATTTAACAGTCTCCTGAATTAGGTACAATACAATTTCAATTTATAGTGCATCAGGAGCACATCACAAATCGCGTGACATTGCTGGCTCTACACCTGAGCTGGGGTGGGAGGTGAAGGTAAGCAGGGTGAGTGCGGCCAGGGAGAGAATCCACAATCCATTCAAGCCATGAGGAAATTATCATGTGCAGGTGGCACACATGGAAATTGCTGTGCGCAATTTGCTGCCATATTTTTCCACAAAATACACACTTGGATTCACTTTATCTTGTGAAGCAGTTTGAGATGTATCGATGATGTGATAAGGTGCTATAGTAAATACAACAATTATTATTATTACAAATACTGTAGTGTTTTCTCCAGACAAACCACTGTATACACACAGAGTGGTAAGACATCTGGCCGAAAGAGTCCTTGCTAGAGTCTCACCACTGTGTGATGTATAGGAGAATACCTGGAGAGAGCGCTGTTTATATCGCAGGCTCTCTTTCCAACAAACACATGGCAATAACATTGCTATAACAATGTTTTAACTCCACTGTAATGTTGGCAGAGGTTGTCATACATAAGCCAGTGGTTGCCAAGCTGGTGATAACATATGATAACATAACACTTTAACAAACCAACAAGTTAAAAGAAGTCCTGAAGAAGAACAAAATCTTTTAATTCACTAAATACCTTATTCAATTGGCAGTTATTTATAACGCAAAGCAGTGGCGTAACAATATCCCAGGGAGCCAGAGTCACAATCTAAAATTTTGCTTAACTTTATCATTTCCGTCTCCTGGTGTTCTCTCTCCTGGTGAAGGTTATACGTGATGCGGTTATATCGAAATGGGGAGTGATAGAACATGTGTTGCTCCCCCACCAATGGGTCAGGCCCACTTAACCTTGTGGGCTCTGGAGGACTGCGCTGGTTACACTATTGTACAGGGTGTTCACAAAGTCCTGTTATGCTCATGTGTTTTTTTTCTACAGTGCACTGACCAACAACGGAAACATGTGGAAGAATGATGATAATTGTATTGTGAAGTACTTCATTGTGTTCAGCACATGTGTTTAACTGTATTTAGACGTCCAGAGGATTGGTGTGAGCGCCCATCATTTTCATAGCCGATGATGATACGTCACCATGTTCGGTGTAACATCTTCTGTAACATGGATGGAGTGATGAGGAAGATACTGGGATCAGACATTGTTACACTCGACTCATCTGCAACAGGAAATAAAAATTAATTGTAAGAAAAATAACATGGGGGTGGGCGGTAAGAGGACTTTGTGAACACCCCATACTTTTGCCACTGCCACTAAGTGATATTAGTTTATTGCTCACAGCGTCCACCACACTGTTTTGGATATTAGTGCAGAATTGTAGAAACTAAAATAAAATAGCTGCAAAATCACTAACCTAGAAATAACTGCTCATGTCTCATTCGGATGGGCAGCACTAAAAGTTGCAGTTGAGGTACAACAGTGCAATGAGTGATTTAGCCAGTGACCAATTATTGATTACCAATTATCAATTGCTCATAAACAATCAATTAGAAACTTTCTAGCATTATTAATTCCCTTCAAAAGTTGTTTCTTTTCCATTTAGAAACTTTATTACTTCCATATTTTCCTAACATTTATTATTAAATTTTTATAGCTGGTGCATTTTGATTCTTTTTGAAGATATTCCAGGATCATTGTTTCTATTGCTGTGCCAAAAGGACTAAGTCACTGAAAAAACTCAATGCAGTACACTGTACCAAGCTGTGCCAACAAAAATAAGGTTTAGTGATTTTTTCCTTCGATATGACTTGTGTCATGTACATGTGTCTTAATGTGTCATTCTATCACGAGGTCACATAAATAAAACGAATGCTAAAGCAACATTTACATACAGACTAGACATTGCCATTTTAAGGGTGAATACTATTTCAAGTAGTTTTTTTATATGCCAACTCCATCCAAATGAAACAAAAGCATGGAGCAACTCGGAGATTAACCACCAAAATGAATGCAGTGTCTGGATCCAGTGACAAGGCCCACGTTACAAGGCAAATGAAAGGAAGGGTTCTTTTTCTTTATTACGGGTCTGATAAGGAATGGCTCGAATCCATGTCTACTTGCAGCCTTGTGGCTTTGATTAAGATGGCAGGCCAAGAGGTGGGGCTCCAGGATGGAAGAGGCTCTTTGCAGCCCTGAGAATGTCAAGTCACTAGGGTCACACAGAGTGACTGTGATTTATTGATCAATAAACACTTCCTTTCAAAACAGCTCTCTCTCTCTCTCTCGTTTTTTTTTGCTTGTCTTTGTGCTTCATTTTTCACAGACATAATAACACCAGAAAAGAAAAAAAATGGGACTATGCATTCAACCTCCCCTCTTTTCAAAACGCTCCTTGTTACTACGCAAACTGTGACTATACCACGACAATGATTTCTATCACTCGTTTAATGAATACTGTATCACATTTGGTGCAATCTTGTAACATACCAGTTTTACTTGAAAGAAATTGTGACTAAAATGGAAGCATTTTCACTGCAGCTGGACAAAGGACGAAGGGGATAAACTGGTACCAGTATATTTTCAGGATATTTTCTCTTTCCTAGTTTGTTCAGGGACATGCTACAAAAATGGCTTCAGTTCATCTTTTGCATGAAGTTATTCAACACACAATTTGCTGTTTAATATTCTTTGAATATTAAAATTTGAATAAAACTCAATTAAAAAATGCACCTAATAAAGAAATAATGGAGGTGAAAGGAGCTTTACAAGCGAGGTCAAAATCCCCCTTGACAATGCAGTATAATGTGTTAACAAGATGTCATTACCATAGTATTTCACTGTGTGTTTATTATATTTGATGTTATAAGATTAATTGTCATTTGCTTCACACTACTGCCTGTTTAAAGTTACATTTACTGAACGCTACATCAACAGAGTACAAGCATGAGACCCACTACCTGGAAATCTCAAGATTTATTGACTAATTATGAACCCATTTGTTTGAAATAGTATAACGCTCCCGGCTACAGGGAGTGACAAAAGACACAATAATTCATTAATTATAGAACTGAATTGAATTATTGTAGACTACACAAATGCCCTGTTTTTTCTTCATTAGTTCTGAATGAAATACCTTCAGGGGGTTTCCAATATTGAACACTGACTGATATTGCTGTGTTGGTATAGTTGTGCACTTGTGGAATATTATTTCATATTATATTTAATAAAATACTGTTACTGGAATTTTTTTTTACTTACAAGTCAGAAATTCTCACATGTAGTCATGAAACGATTGGCAGGGCGGCCTAATGTGTAAAGGCACCACTAGCGTGGCTTGTATGCTTAGATTCCACTCCGTATTTGAATAGATTTGGTGATTTGATCAAGTCAGGACACTGGAGTTTAAATTCAGATGTTGGTAAATTGTTTCAACTCAACTCAAAAACTCAGTGCAGGTTAGATGATCACAGCTAGGACAGCATTTTTGATGCTACAATTGGGCTTAGGACGGAGGGGAAATGTGATGTGATTACCTACATGGTCAAATAAGCCACTGCAACTCATTATTTGAACTTGCAAATGATGAGCACTTGAACAAGAGACTGTAAGGGTTAAATAAATTTGTGACCTTGCGGTCAAGTGAGGACCGATGCAAATTCTTCAATCAATTGATATTTATTAATACAAATTAGTTAAATAATGCATATCAAAGTTATACGATTCATCAAATCAAAGTAATGCTTACAATAGGTTAATAAAGTTCACTGCAATTAATTGATCAGACTAAATAAAGTGGCTTTCTTGAGGAATCACCTTGTTAATCCATATTGATTGTAGTATATTCTTCTTTTTCTCGATATTATTTACTGTTAGGTACTCCATTTCCAAAACTCAACTTCGCACCTTTTTCAAATTCAGCTCCGCTCCTTTCCTTTAGAAACATCTACCTTGCAAAGACATCTAGCCAACAGCTCAAAAAAAACATCTTTTTGTAAATCGTCTCCTCCTGTTACCGATATTC